AGATCCAGCTTAGCCAAGATTATAAAAGGCTAAGCTGGCTAATGTGAATAATGAACATCTAGCCAACCAATATTTTTCTGTTGTCTTTCCTTGTTTCTCCCCCCCCAGTTTCCGCCTCTGACACTAAACTATTTCTATCTGTAAGAAATGTCTTACATAATTAATTGTAAATTTATCTTATATTTTTAATTAGATTACATATTTATACTAGCCTTAATTGTGTTTATAAAAAATATGGTGTTTTTATTATAGAAAAGCAGATATTTTAATATTCATTTTATTCTAATTATTTTGCTTTATTTAGTCTTTTGCTTAATACAGGTTTAATAATTATTAAACATGGCACTTACACTTTACTCAGAATAGATAACTGAGTTTTAGCTAAAAGATAATATTTATCAACTTTAAAAAATCAACATAAGACACTTCTTATGAGTCGTCGCGTTTAAATATTAGCAGCTAAAATACTATTATATATATAGCAGCAATCCAAATTCAGAGGTAAAGTTTGTATCAATCGTGCTTTAGAAATACGGCGTCAAGATCTTGGTTGGGTGCCTTTATTAACATTAATAAGTAAAGAATAAAATAATTATAAAGAATATTATCAGCTGAATAACCTTGAAATATAAGAAATCATATAAAATTTTCAATTGTTAAAATTCCCGTTGACCTGATTGACTTTGATAACAAATACCAATAAAGTCAACTAACCAAAGTCCCCCATGATAAGGTGGAGGATATGAGACCTCGATGTTGGTATATCTGTCTTATAGGCGGGGTTTATGGGATTACCCAAAACTTCTGCCCTGAAATGTCATCTCTCCTGCAAGGGAGTGATATGATTTTACCACCTTATGTCTACCCAATCTTAGAAAAAAAATAAAGTCAGAAAATTTTACAATATAATAAAAAAATATTCAATTTTAATAGGCTTCCATGGCGCAATTGGCTAGCGCGTATGACTGTTAATCATGAGGTTCCTAGTTCAAGCCTAGGTGGGAGCGATTGCCTGGCTGGCGCAATGGATAGCGCATCTGACTTCTAATCAGAAGGTTGCGGGTTCAACCCCCGCGTTAGGTTATTTTTGGGTTTTATTAGTTATCTATTTTACATATTTTTGAATTGTGAGTACTCATTAAAATTGGAAATAAATACATCACCAATTAAAGCTCAATTATTTAATATAGCCTATCAGCTATTAAGCGAAAACACCTACAACAACTAAAACTCTGAAATTTTATATGTACAAATCCTTATGTTTTCTAATACATAAGTTCTCCGCTTGTGTTTTTAATTTATTATTAAATTTCCAAATCCATTTAGTATTAGAATTCAATAATATAGAAAATATATATATTTAAAAAAGCATTTACACAATTCTAGTGTCTAATGGATTCTTTTTTTTCAAAATACAGTCTAAATGTTAATTCTCAAGATGATAAAGTCATAGCCACAAATATGCTGATTTCTACACCAAACCCCGCAAAAAAGCTCTCTAAAACCCCAGAAAACTCTGAATCCGCGAGGGCTCGCTTAAAAGAATTTTATGCTTTAGATAATGGCGCTAATGATGTTGAAAACAGTAATATTTGTTTTATTCTGTATTTCTAATATTGTTTTTGCGTTATTTATTTAAAATAGATTTCAAATTTTTAATTTATACATTTATTTATTTAGTAGATAGCTCTGCTCAAAATATTAATGAGTTTAATCTAGGTTAGTTTTATATTCATTCTCTAAATTACCTTTTTACTTATAGCCACGCTTTAACTTTTTTTTTTTTACTTTCTTTAGGGAATTTTGATAGTAAAGAATACATAAAACAAAGTTTACGCGAAAAAAGTTTAAAAGAATTACTAGTCGAAATTAGTAATATAAACAATGGTATATTATATT